TTATCTTGACCGAGAGTCGGCAGGTGCCCTTGCAGATGATCATAGAGCTGTCTCCGTTTCACTGTAAGGTAACTGTTCACACAGCTGTGTAGAGTGCTGTTTGTTAAGTAAACAGTTTAAAGACTGTGGAAGTAGAGTTCTCGCTTTTTAGTTTTAAGACCACATGAGTAAAGAAGTTAGTTAGGTAAACTATCCCACATACCCTAGCTGTTTGCTTTAGTTATTAGCTAATTGTAAGGGAGATTTAGGCTGCCTTCAGCCAAAACTTCTACTGAAACTATGTATGAAAAAACCCGTAGGCCTTCCAAAAGGATTTGAGAGAATTAGAAAGATGAGAAGGGAGAATACCAGGATAAGCCCTAAGATGTGTTGGAATTAGGTAGATTGGGGTGAACATAGGGTGTTTAAAGATCGAAATAGACAGTGAAATCAGTATAGGATTCGGAGTGTGCATATTCTCTAGCTCTGACCACTCAGAGGGGCCGAGAGTACCTAACCTCCTCCGCCCCCGTAGCGGTGAGCACATCTAGTGCCTGGATTTTGGCTTATAAATATTATTTCCCACAAAAGGAACCGGAGATCATGGGAGAAATAACTGATTCCAGGGCTGTGTTAGAAAAAATACAGGATGAACCTGAAGATCTTGTGGCAGAAAGCAATTAAGTGCTGCAAGAGTGAGGGGCATGCAGAAGGGACTAAGAAGTCTGCGTGGATGGACTGACACTGGCCGAATGAGGGACAATTTGAGCATCACTCTAAATAATAATAATAGAGTGTAACCCGTCAGCTAAAATAGGAAGCCACAAGGCCATACCAGTATAACTAAATAAACCATGATCTCCCAGCACCAGTGCTGTTGACCTTTTGGACTGGAGGATTCTTTGTCGTGGGCTGGGCCGCCTTGTCTGATGGAGGATGTGTGTCAGCATCCTTGGCTTCCATCTGCTACATCAGTACTTTAGACGAGGGCCATCCAGCAGACAGAGAATGCCAGTCACCAATGAAATTTTAGATCTTATAGTGACCACAGTTAGAATCCAAAATGTCTCCAGACGTTGCCAGATGTCCCATGAGGGACAAGGTTGCCTTGGTTGGGGACCAAAAGACACAATAAGTTTAGAGTTTGGTGGGGAACAGGGTATTGACATCAAAGTACCCTTTTTGCTTTTCCTGCCTGGGTCTGTGGACGGTGGATAAATAAAGGCACTTAAACACACAATACAGAGAATGAGTGGGCCGAGGGGTTGTGAGCCGCTCACAGAGAGATCACAGTTGCATGATACTTGCTAGTTTGCCCTCTCCACATTTATTCAGGATAGATTTAATAACAGAGGCTTTAAGTCAGCACGCTTGTAGAGAAAGACTTTCCACATTTTCCCAAATTTGCTAATTACCAGAGGGAAAAACAATACATTGGCAGTGAAGAAGCCAGGCAGACTTCAGCTATCAAAGTTAAGATCCTTATCAATGGGATAAATGGAAGTCATGTGTTACAGGTATAGTGCCATGACAAGAACACAGTGTCTCTGCCATATCCATGCCAACGATGCTGATACGGTTTGGATCTGTGTCCTCACCAGATCTCACATGGAACTGTAATCCCATGTTGGAGGTGGAGCCTGGTAGGAGTTGATTGGGTTATGGGGGCAGAGTTCTCATGAATGGGTTAGCACCATCTCCCCCATATTAGGGTTCTCTAGAGGGACAGAACTAATAGGAGATACGTGTGTGTGTGTGTGTGTGTGTGTGTGTGTGTGTGTGTATGTGGAGTTTATTAAGTAGTATTAACTCACATGATCACAAGGTCCCACAATAGGCCATCTGCAAGCTGAGGGGCAAGGAAGCTAGTCCAAGTCCGAAAGCTGAAGAACTTGGAGTCCGATATTCAAGGGCGGCCCGCGTCCAGCACAGGAGAAAGATGTAGGCTGGGAGTCTAGGCCAGTCTTGCCTTTTCACATTTTTCTGCCTGTTTTATATCCTGGCCATGCTGCTGGCAGCTGCGTAGATGGTACCCTCCCTCAGATTAACGGTGGGTCTGCCTCTCCCAGCTCACTGATTCTAATGTTAATCTCCTTTGGCAGCACCCTCACAGACACACCCAGGATCAATACTTTGCATCCTTCAGTCCCATCAAGTTGACAGTCAGCATTAACCATCACACCACCTTTGTACTGTATAGTTTTCACGAGATCTAGTTGTTTAAGAGTGTGTGGTACCTCCCCCCGCCCACCTCCTCCCCCGACCTTCCTGCTTCCCCTGCCCTTGCCATGTGATATGGTTTGGCTGTATCCCCATCCAAATCTCATCTTGAATTGTAGCTCCCATAATTCCTACAGGTTGTGGGTGAGACCTGGTAACTGGAGGTAATTAATCATAGGGGTGGGTCTTTCCCGTGCTGTCCTTGTGATAGTGGATAAGTCTCATGAGATCTAGTGGTTTTATAAGGGGAGTTCCCCTGTATACAGTCTCTTCCCTGCTGCCCTGTAAGATGGGCTTTTGCTTCTCCTTTGCCTTCTACCGTGATTGGGAGGCCTCCTCAGCCATATGGAACTGAGTCCCTTCAACCTCTTTCCTTTATAAATTACCTGGTCTCAGGCGTGTCTTTACTAGTAGTGTGAGAACAGACTAATACCCACTGTGAAGACGGCTGCTCCACCTTCGCCTTCTGCCATGAGTAAAAGTTTCTGAGGCCTCCCCAGAATCAGATGCTTCTGTGCTTCCTGTACAGTCTGCAGAACCATGAGGCCTATAAACTTCTTTTCTTATAAATTACCCAGTTTCGGGTATTTCTTCATAGCAATTCCAGAATGGACTAATATAGATGCATGAATCAAGAATCAGTAAATGACAAATCTCTGGCCTGGGCAACAGAGTGAGATCCTATTTCTAAAAAAAAAAAAAAAAAGTTATTTTTAAATCAAGCGAGTATAGTGCTATGAGTCTGTAGTCTCAGCTACTTGGGAGGCTGAGCTGGGAGGACTGCTTGAGCCTGCAAAGCTGAGGCTGCAGTGAGCTGTGATTACACCACTGCATCCCAGCCTGGGTGACAGAACAAGGTCATGTCAAAAAAAGAAATCTGCATAGAGGGACCTAATGGAAAACAGTTGTACCTGCAATCTTCACAATTGCCAAGGTCATGAAGGTCAAGGAAAGGGAAATTCTCAGCCTAGAGGGGGTGGCAAAGACTTGATAGCTACCCGCAGCGATCCTATTTCTTTTGTCAAAGAAATAACTGGGACATTTAAAGAAACTTGGGTGGGGATTAGGATTAGGTGGTCCTCATGTACTAGATTAACTTTTTTATTTTGATGGTTGTGTTGTGGTTATGTATGTTTTTGCTTGTAGGCGGTATACCCTAGAGTTCATGAGGCTTCAGGCCGACAGCTTCATATCAGTGCTTCAGGCTGGGAAAACAGGTTTTTGTATTGCGTTTTGGACTTCTCTATAAATTTGCAATGGTTAAAAAAAAAAAAAAGAAGAAACACGCAGCCGGGCGCGGTGGCTCACGCCTATAATCCGGAGGTCAAGAGAGTGAGACTGTGCTGGCCAACATGGTGAAACCCTGACTCTACTAAAAATACAAAAATTAGCTGGGCATGGTGGCGTGTGCCTGGACTGAGGCAGGAGAATTGCTTCGACCTGGGAGGGGGACGTTCCAGTGAGCCGAGATTGTGCCACTCTGTTCCAGCCTGGTGACACAGTGAGACCTGCATCTCAAAAAAAAAAAAAAAAAAAAAAAAAATTGCAAATGTTGTGGCCAGCAGTGTCACATATTAATTTTCTTTAAAGCATGCTTGGCTCCAACATTGAGACCCTTCCTGAGAACATTTTTTGTCTTATTATCCTTTTAAGGAAAAGCTTCTACTGCATTAATAGAATGTTCTTATAGAAAGAATATTGGAGGCTGGGTACAGTGGCTGATGCCTGTAATCCCAGCACTTCGGGAGGCTGAAGTGGGAGGATTGCTTGAGACCAGGAGTTTGAGATCAGCCTGAGCAAAATACCGAGACCCCATCTCTATAAAAAATAAAAAAATCAGCCAAGTGGGTGGTAGCACATGCCTGTGGTCCCAGCTACACAGGAGGCTGAGGCAGGAGAATCATTTGAACCTGGGAGGCAGAGGTTGCAGTGTGCTGAGATTGTACCACTGTACTCCAGTCTGGGCGACAGAGATCCTGTCTCAAAAAAAAAAAAATTGGAAAAAATTGTACACACACCCATGTGTATGCATATGTGTGTAAATGCTGACACATCCAGTAAAGTTTTAGACCCCAAAGTAGAAGGCAGATCATTTCTCTCTTTTACTTTTGTGGCTCTGTATATATTTTCTTTATTTACAGTTAGAAAAACAATTCTTTGGGCAAACCTAATTTTGCAGAGCAAATTAAACGGCCATGATAATGTTTGAAGCTGGAGAGCAATCTGCATTTCAAATCAGTGCTTTGAAATGTCAACCAAAATATGTTGAGAAGAAATTGTGAAGGGTTTTTAACTCTGATCATCTGATAGCATGGAGAAGAATTTCTGGATGGGCATTGCACACGGATGAAATAATTACACTGCTGGCCTTCTGCTACATGAAGTTTGTTTGGATGAAGTGGCTTAAAAAATAATAATTAAAATATTTTTAGCACAAGTAAGGTCTCTGTGCAGTTCTCTGCTCTTGGCTGGTCTTTCTGACCGGCACGTAATTGTGATGGATCACTAATGGCTGGGCAACAGGCCAGGTCGCCACACAGAGCTAACTGGCCCTTGTCATGTTGGATTCTGTGACATTAATCTCATTAGCTCTAACTTCCTGTGCTAATTGCACCACTAATTGCGTGCCTTTTCTTCATTTGGTTTAACATTGAACAGATCGTGTTACACGAATCCTACCTTCTATTTTGGTGAGCGATAGTGCTTCAACCTGTGAAAATAACTTTGCAGTTTGCTTTGTTAGGAGTGCGGGTAGAATCTGGATGCATTTACTGACTGACTTTTTTTTTTTTTCTTTTTAGTTTCCTTATCCCATATCACACAACTGGTCCTCAGCCATAACAAGCTAACAAGTAAGTGATCTTTCTCATTTGTTACGGTTTCTGACGTTTAGGTAATTCTGCGGCACTGCTGATTCTGTTACTGTTTTCTTTGAAGAAACCAATGACAAATGATTATCTGCAGAAACCTTAGTTTATTTTGGTGACACGAAGATGAGTATGTTGTCTTCCTGTATTTTGGCCTTTTGTAGTTAGGTCTACTTTGTAGATTCTTTCTTTTCTGTTTTTTGAGACGGTCTCGCTGTGTCACCCAGGTTGGTCTTGAACTCCTGGGCTCAAGCGATCCTCCTGCCTTGGCCTCCCAAAGTGCTGGGATTACAGGCATGAGCTATGGTGCCTAGCCAGAAGATTCTTAATTATCATGTAAACCAAAGAGAAAAAAATGACATTGTTTCTCTCAAAGTGGTTCCATTCAGAGATAGAAATGTTTTGGTGACCTGAGCTGCCAGACCATTGGTGAGCATTTCATGCGAAAAACTTGAAACGATTGAAAACTTGAAATTATTAGAATGAGTCGTTTCTTTTCATCTATATTTCCTCCTCAAAAGGAGAAGGTTTAACTATTGAATGCACTTTCCAGCCCTGCTTGCTGGCGGAGAAGATGCAAAATTGTATACATGGTAAACCTTTACATCGGAATTTTTCAGATGTTTGAGTCTGGCTTCCCCAAAAGAAAAATTCTGCTGGGCATCCATAGAGTTCCACACAGCTGAAGTGTCTGCTTAGCGTACAGTAGGATGAATGCCTGTTTTTATAGGAATGTCTTTTGTGTGTGATGGGTCATTTTCTTCGTAGAGCTGTGGCTTTAAGGATTTTAATGACAGGGACGCACACTCCTTCCCATTCCTAATTGACTGTCGTTTCTTTGGGCTTGCCATTTTTCCTGCAGACTTGAATGATTTTCTAATCATGCGGCAAGAATTTGTTAGAGAGCTCTCCGAGGCCAATGAAATCGAGCAGGATGTCATGCTGAGGGATTTGTTTCGTGAATTTATGTGTATGTGTGCATTATATACAGCTCGAAGCAATGTCACAGAGCTGTTGATTACTGAGAATGAAGAGTGGCAGCGAGTTCCCCTCATGTGCAAGAAATAAGCGGACTAGTTTTTAGCCAAAGCGAGTATTTGTAAGGCAAAGGCAGTGACGGCACAGTTGTCATGCTTGGTAGTGGTAGCCACAGAAGCCTAAAGTGACACCTGCCAGTCACGTGTGGTCATTGTTACAACAGGTAATTTGGTGGCAGTTCCATTGTTTTTCTGGGAAATGGTCCTGTGGTCCACAGCCACCCAAATCTCAGTTCAGAAGGGATTCGTGGTTTGTTTTGAAGGGTGAGTCACGTGATCCCTGAATCCCCCAAGATTCTTTGACCAGTAATAACTGACATGTTCTGTTGCATAGTTTATTAAAGTGTTTCTTAATGGCAAAGCTTATCATTCTTAGATCCGTATTATTATTATTGTTATTATTTTGGCAAACCAGTTTACCCAAGAAAGCAAAACTGGCCAAGATCAGACTCATGCCTGTAATCCCAGCGCTTAGGAAGGCTGAGGCAGGATTGCTTGAGCCTAGGAGTTTGAGACCAGCCAAGGCAACATACTGAGACCCTCATCTCTACCAAAAATAAAAAAAAATTAGCCGGACATAGTGTGTGTCCCCGTGGTCCCAGCTACTCAGGAGTCTGGGTCCACTAGGTCGAGGCTGCAGTAAGCCATGACCATGACACTGCACTGCAGCCTGGGTGACAGAGGGAGACCCTGTCTCCAACAGAAAGCAAGCAAAACCTTTGTTGCTATTATATTATTCGTTGATCTGTTCTTTAAAAACGTCTTTCAGATCGTTGTAGTTTATTTCTTTTTACATCTTCACAAAGATAGGAATCTCAAGGGTCAGTAGCTCAGTTTCTTCCTCCAGGCATGTAATATTAGATTAATTTAGACGGGCATATTTATATAGGGAATTACATCCTGTTGGCCATACAGGAGATTGACTGTGAAAGAATCCAAACTTTATATTTCTGCCTTGCCAGTTTTTTTTTTTTTTTTTTTTTTTTTCCCCCTCTCTTCACTCTGTTTGAGACACTCTTGACCTAATCCAGTAAACTCTAATTAATGGTCTTGGTAAATTCTGTTTCAAGCCATGCTGAGGCGTGCCAGTGACACTGGATCTGTTTCACTAAGGTCAAATTAGCATCCTTTACTGTTTTTCTGGCATTTAAATGAATGACTTTGCTGTGGTTTTTCAAGTGTTTATAGTAAATATGTCCATTTGATGGAAATATAAATATGCATTAAATGTAAGTGGCTAGGCACACCCTGCCGTCACTTTTTATTGTAATCAGTGTCTTTCACTTTCCGTCGTTTTTAATAGGGACCGGCTGACAGGGCCACATTAAAACCACAGGGACTCAAAAGATAACTCCCCCACCCCTCGCCACTGCTTTTATCTTGCAAAAATATGTGTGTTTTTCTCTTAGTATGCCAATTACAGGCTTCTCTGACATTTCCACGTATCTACTCATGGAAGGAATGAATCGTTTACTCAAACTGGGACATTGATTTGGGGACACTGTTGACTCCACTGACTTCAGATCTGCAGGGTTATTGGAACAGTGAGGCACAGGGTTGACGTCCCTTTTCCTGCTAGTGGTTTTGGCCTTGACAGGTCCACCCAGGGCAGTAGAAGTGAGGCCAGGAGGAAGCTGCAAGTGGGATCTGTGATCCTGAAATTCCCCAAGAATTTCCGAGCAGAAATTCCTGAACTTTTTAACACTGCAGTTCATTAAAATATTTGCATATTGTCAAGCTAATTGCTGCTAGTGCTTCAAGACTATTATGGTGAAACTTTAAATTTAAACCTGGGGGCTTGGGGCAGCGTTGATGCGTTTTTGAAGTCGGAGGGGGGAGGTTAATCTGTCTTTAACAACTGCCCTAGATATGTATATATACATGATGTATTTAAGGAGACAGGAAGGATAGTAGCAAGTGAATCTTTATTGTGCTTTTTCACTATGAATGGACAAGTACTGAGTTAGAATGCAACAAAGTTATTGGCAAAGTTAGAATTCAAAAGCATTCTAACCCAATGGGAAGAGTTTCAGATTAAACATCCCTTTGGAAACAGCTTTCTTTGAGCACCTGCCTGTGATGGAGTATGCACCTGGCAGAAGGCTGGCGCGCTCTCGTGCCCGCAGTCTCTCTCTTGATCGCTCGCTCGCTCTTCGGCGCATGCGCTCTCTCTGTCTGACTTTCAGTAACTGCCCTAATCTGCCCCATGTCCCATGCCAGCCTCTCCTTGTCATATGCTGCTCTAGGAAGACAGATTGTCTTCTGTTCCGATGTAGCCTTGCCTCTGGGCCCAAGGTCTACCCCTGCCTGCCTCTCCTCCTCCCTTCTTTTCTCTACCAGCCACTCCCCATCCTCTCCTGGAGGCCCCTTGGCTGCTCTGGCCCATCTGAAGCCTTCCTTCCCCAAACTCTCTTGCATGTAGGCTCCTTTAACTCCAGTGCGGCGCTCCCTGTCCGTCCCTTGCTTTGTGTGTTTTCTCTCTCCCCAAATCGATGGTAAGCTTTTGTGAAATCAGGGACCGTTTCATATTCTTCCTTAATGCCTGTTGCTGGGCAGTTAGTGGCTTCCCAGTAGTTACCTGTGAAAACCGTGTGTTCATTGTTCCCAGGAGGTATGTAGATGACAGGGAAGACCAGAGAGGAGACTGCTGGCTTGGGGAACTTGGGACCAGAAGGTTTCTTTGGCATTAACTGGTACAGGGACTTGAGCAGATGTGGTCACCCCTGACTTGAGTTTCTTACTCATTGTGTGCTCATTTCAAACATGGTCAGTGCTCTAAAGATACACGGCCTTTAGCATGAGCACCATAGTAAAACCCTGTGTCTTAAAAAAAAAAAATTAGCCAGCATGGTGGCTCGCCCATGTAGTCCCAGCTACTCTGGAGGCTGTGGCGGGAGGATCGTTTCAGCCCAGGAGTTTGAGGCTGCAGTGAGCTAGGATGATACTACTGCATTCCAGCCTGGGTGACAGAGCAAGACCTCATCTCAAAACAAACAAACAAACAAAAATAGAGGTACATGACTTTATGTCTAATAAATTGTTGCCCTCATCTTTACAATCATAGAGGCAAGGAATGATAGGCTGTGATGTGTTACTCAGGAACAGCAAAGGACTCGCAGCCTGGGACACTGGTATCATGACGGCTCAGGTGCATTCTGCCTCCCAGAAACCCTGCTGAGCTGCTGAGCTCTGACTTCTTCCAGAAAGCCTCTTTCCACTCCAGGTCTTGCTGGCGTCTAGGTCTGTTCCTCTTTCACTTAAGGTTAATTTTCTATATTTAAGAGTCCTGATTATGTACTGATTTCCTCACAGGATGAATTCTAAGTGTCTGGAGGTTAGGGATGCTGTCTGACACTTCCTCTATAACCCACCTCCGCCAAAGTGCCACAGCATGTTGGCCATGAAATGGGCACTCAGTTAATACGATGGATTTGTGGATTGCTTAGGTGGTGGGTGGTGCTGAGCCCCAGCGGTCTGCCATGCTGCTGCACCCAAGAGCTTGCTAGCTCCGAGGTTTTCTCTAAGCAGGGAAGGCAGCAATGGTGCCGAAGGTGATCTTCCCGTGTTTCTTTGCTTTTTCTTCCTGCCCCTGCCTCTGTGGTTACCCTCCTTTGAAGCCACTGTCAGCTGAGTCTCTTTCATCTGATCCTTAATCCAATCCCTGGGTTTTGTGGTGTTTGGAAGTGTGAGTTTTGTAAATGCTTTCCTACTTGTTTTTGTTTTTCAAAAGGAGTCTCTTTTGGAGGCAACCATTTTAAGAGATGTCCACTAGAGGTCACTGTGGAGACACATATGTCTCCTCCAGGTTTTGTACCTAGGGATGAGAAACCAACTTTGCGTTGTCGGAATACGTTTTCTGCAGGCTCTGCGGCCCTGCACTCCGGGCATGTTGCTACTGCTGCGTACGCAGTGCAGTTTTTACCACATTTAAGGTAAATCCTTATAGCA